CCTACTGGGAGTCCGTCAGTTTGTTCTCACCGTAGCTTGCATGTTCGTCCGACCGACGTAGGGGTAAGTCGACTCCTTGTCGACACCAGTCGCTTTGATATACTCAAAGGCCTTGTCCATCAAGCCTCCATTGCAACCCCTGAGATGAGGAATGAAACACATCGTGACTCACCCACTTACTCGTTTCCATAGGCACCGGCGCAGTCGACTAGCTGCTGTTCGGATAAAGACAGAAGTTTACCGGTAGCGATGGCATAGCGCGGCTCGAGAGCACCTAAATGCACCAAGTCTCGAGGGCTCTAGCGGGTCCCATGGAGAGGTACCAATCGCGGAAAACGCCCAGCAGCTGCCACAGTATCCTTGGTCCTTAACCGGATTGAGCACACCCTTCTTTCTCCAATCAACCGACGTTGGAAGAGTCGTAGTTGTTGGTCCAGCTGACACGGAAACGACAGGCTTCCAACGGACACAGAGAGTTTCAGATCTCACCTCCAGCAACAAATCCATCTCCCATGCCTTCGCTCATATCGGTAGAACTGAGCTTGAGGGCGGCGAACTCCTCGAGAGTCAGGTCCGTGTATTCGTTGACTCCCAACTTGTATGAAAGGTCTGATTAGCTCAGTACGCACATCTTTTTACAACTGACCGGTATCACTCACTCTGGGCGTTGACTTCCTCGATATAATTCAAGTTGTCATGGAAGATAGCAGCTCTCTTCATCTCTTCCTCCTTATTGTCATAACTTTTACCATGCCTGCAGAAGAAGGCATTATAAACGGAATACAATTCACACCGTTTCTCACTTTTTTTGGAATCCAATGAAAGCCAAGCCCGCGGCTTCCAGATCCACAGCCTTGCACACAGGAAAGGCGAGGAGGAATACGACTGAGATGGTAGTCATTTCAACTCGATCACTCGATACAACTGGTAGGTAAAGCGAGTCTTCACCGGTGAGTCTCAACGAAGTTTGAACAAGGCTAGAGTATGATAGGATCGATGACTTGGTATTCCGGGGTCCAACGAATTAGCGAAAATGAACAGGAACACATTCTCGGTCCGCACGTCACTTACGTGTGACTCACTGTAGCGCACAGACTCGTGCCCTCGGCCGAGGAACTTTAACAACCCCGCAGCTTCTCAGGTGGTAAGAAATCGAACGAAAACAGATTGAAATTTTATCTGAAGCTGATTGTTGAAAGAAAACTAGCTTAAGACCATAAATGACTCTTCTCTTTAGCGATAACTAACCTCCATTTTTTGGAATGCTCCTTGTGCGAACGCCCATCCAGCACACACGCCCCACTAGGGCAGCACGCAGGGACGACTGTATATACATTCGCTCTGTCGCACTAGACAATTAATCGAGCACGCTCAATACCTAGTGGTACCTATAGATTCGCAGAGGCTCCTCGTGCCCACAATTGAAATTCATCTCCGTTGTGTGAGAAGTCAGTGTAAGAGGCATTACGCATCACACAGCGCACAAACTTATTTCACGCACGCCGATAGGATGCGATGGTCGGAGGATCTCTTTTGAGCTACTGCTTCCGTGATTGGAACTAGTTGAGTTCTCTATGTTGGCAGTTGAGCGTGCCACGCTCAGCGTGTGTCGACTTACCGTGTGCCACTTACATGCCATACACTGTATGGCATACACAACTTTCGCAGTTTCACTCGATCACACACTTCATCATCCAAGGACTCGGAAGTTCCGACTCGGGACCACGTGGAACCGAGGTGAGGGCGAGTTGGCTTCCCGTGTTCCTTCGTCAAGTCACACGGAGCAACCGATACAGCACTAGTGTGCCGGCCGGGGACGGCTTTTGTCTTGGCGGACGTCCTCGTCTGACTGTGGATATCTTCTGATTCGGAAGCTCTGAATCGAATAGAACCTGCAATATGGCTCCCGTATTGAAGTTCCAGCCCGGAACTTCCGGAGTGACCCAACTTACTTCTTTCTCATTCACAAGCCACTTCTGC